GGGTGTAGACCGACAAGGGAGACCCCCAAGAGTGGCAGGTTGGTGCCTGCGTCCATTCACGGGGTCTGCATAGCAGAAAGGAAAGGCAAAGAGGCTGGAAGGAGGAAGGCAAGAGGAGATTGAAAGCAGTGACCCGCCATGGAGTGAAGAAGGGAGAAGGATTCCTGTCACCTTTATCACGTACTGCAGAGAGAGCAAGCGCGCTGGACATTAGGAAGATATCATATGTACGGCAGCGGGACATCCGCTTGGAGGTGGCACTTTGAGGACGTCGGGAGGATAATGCAGTGGGTTCAAAGTGATAGAAAGTGAAGCAGTGTAGACTTTCCTTATGAAGTGCCATGATAGTTTAAAAGAAGAAGGAGTCAGAGGGGTGGCAGGGAGAACGACCAAGGATTTTTTAATGTGGGAGATTTGAACTCTACAGATTTGGGAGAAGGAACAAGGAGAGGGAGTGATGAAAAATATAAGGCACGTAATTCGTGGTAGAGGAGTTGATAAAGTTCAACAGGTATCAGGAGGGGATGGGGTCAAGATCTCAGAGGTTAGTCCTGGAGAGGAAGGATGGAGGGAGGCCTGAAGGAAGGTGCTTGCCATAGGGATGACGAGTGGGTGATGGATTTGAGAAGGACTTAAGAAGTTAATCTGGCACAATTTGGAGATAGATTGAATTGAGCCAGAGTAGGAAGGAGGCAAAGAATGGAGTCAGGAAAGACTAGGTTTTCAGCTCAGATTACTGAGGGGCTGAGGGAGCCACCGACTGGGATAGGAAGTATCAAAGGAGAACTGGGTTTTAAGGGTATATAAGAGATAACTTGGAGAATATTGAGTTTGGGGTGCCTGTGAGACATAAGATGGAGATGTCGAGGGGGGAATCTGGTACACTGGTCTACAGTTGAGGAGATAGATCTGTGAAATTACCAATATTCAGATAATCAGAGTTTAAAACTACAAGAGTGGAAGGTTTCATAGAGGAAGAAGATGTAAAGTGAGTCTGGGTTAGTATGCGTGATGGGGCTGAGGTAGGAAAGACCAGAGAGAAATCAAAAGTGTGGCTCAGGGGGTGATGAAGGGAGAGGATCAGAAAGAAAGCTGTGGGCAGAGTGATGTTTCAGAAATATTAGAAGCAGACCAAATATGACCTTAGCCCAAGACAAGCCCTTCACTGGTTATTTTTTCCCAATTATTGAATGTCAGTATCAACTATGTTGCATGATATATTTTAAAAAATACTATGCTGAAATTGTCTTCCCATCTTGTGAATGGTATTTTGGGTAACAGGTTTTCATGCATTTATTTTCCAAGAGCAATTTGTTGCTGTGGGAAGAAACCGAAGTAACTTATATTCATGAACTTCTAAAAGTCCACTCACAGAAAAATAACAATGCAGTCTTACCAACTTCCAACTCTTTGTACTTTTTTCCATGATCAGAAGTATTTAGAGTCTGTTTTAAAGAAAGAAGCATAAATACAAGAGATAGAGACCACAAAAAAAAAAAAGAAAGACTTTTATCTCTCCAAGGAACAAATTCTTTCAGTGAGATATAGTTTATTGTTAATGTGTTTTGAGGTGAGGCATCGTGCAAATGAAACTCTTGAAATTTGTCCTCTTTCAAAGTTGTTTTCTTTGTGCCTGGGGTTCTTTTGGCTCCAGGTTGAGGGACTATTTTGTGGAAGAGAATGGTATTTGATTGTTTCATCTTGGAGCAATGAGAAAATCCTTGCATCTTCCTCCCACTTCCCCATTTTTTTGAGTAGCACTGAGTCATAATTGCACTTTCATGTTAAAGGCTTTCCATTTGCATTAACAGTTTACTCTGGAATGCTTCTGTCCCGTACATAGTTGGCAGATCCAGTCTCTACTTCTTGACTCTCTTTCATTTTGTTTGAATTTTTCTAATTAGTGATTTAGTTTTCCAGATATTCTATTACATTTCCCATCCATATATGCTGTCTTTTTTCTTTTTGCCTGACAGTACAGACATAGAATTGTAAAGGGGTAGTTCTCGCTCATCTTCTTCTTACCATTGCCCTTATAAGGTTATTTTAATTCTGTCTTCCTTGTTCTCATTGCTTCCACTCAGAAGATAGTCACAAAGCTGAATTTCAGGGTCATTTGCAGGTATATTTAAAGAGGTATGCAAAGATGTAAGTCTAGGGGTTTGGGAATGTCATAACCAGAGAATGAATTGAAATCACTGTTTCCAGATTAAGACCAAGAAAGACAGCACATGTCCTTACTTTGCGTGTTTATTATGTCTGTTGGTATTCTGGATTTTTCAGTTGACAACAATCAACTTGGATTTGTAACTTGAGAATTAAGAGCTATACCCCTTGTTCAGGCAATTTCCAATATGTGCTTAGAGAGAAACAGACCTCAGGCCAAATCCTGCTTGCGTTTGACTCAATTCTCCTATCCTAAAAATGGAATACTAATACCTTCCTCACACAGATTGAATGAATTCACGTATGCTAAGGAGTTGGCATGCTACCTAGTACATAGTATGTGCTTCAAAATGCTAGCCATTCTCAACACCAGCATCACCACCACTGTCACCTTTGGTGCTTTGGACTGTTCTCTGTGGTCATTTCAAAGGCTTCCTCCAAGTGTTTTTGCCTATAATGGCCCCCCACCAGCCCCTCACTTCTTCTGTACTGACACTCTTTCGATAAGGAATTTGTATATTTGTTTTAGAAGTTGCTGAAAGTTTTTATGGAGGGAACCCAGTAACTCAGTATACTCACATCTGATTTATTAGCTATCTTTTTTCTTTGGATTTAAACTAGATATGTTATTTACCTATTGCTGTGTAAGAAACTATCCAAAACTTAGTGGCTTAAGATAACCAGCGTTATCTCGTGATTACTGTGGGTCAGGAATTCAGGACCATCTTATCTGAGCATCTCTGGCTCACGTTCTCTCGTGAGGTTATCAGCCAGGGCTGCATCATCTGAAGCCTTGACTGCTGGTGAGGAATCCACTTCCGAGCTCCCTGAGCTCCTTGCTCGATGTTGGTGATCGAATGGGGAAGAACCTCGGCCCCCCACCACATAGACCTCCTCACAGGGCTGCTCGAGTGTCCTCACACCATGGTGGCCAGCCTCCCCCAGAGCAAGTGATCTGAAAGGGAGCCAGGAGGTGGCCACGCTACCTTTTATAACCCGCTCTCAGAAGCCTAGGACCATCATTTCTGTCACATTCTATTTGTTTGAGTCACTAAGTCCCCCGGCACTCAAGCGTACGGAATTAGGGTCCACCCTCCCTCCTCTGCCCCTCTTCCCTGTGCCTCCCCTCCTCCCATCCCCTTTGCCTTTCCTCTACCCTCCTCTACCCTTTCTGCACCTCAGCTTCCTATCTTAACAAGCAAAGGTAATCTTTTGCCTTCCTGGGGTTACTGTGAAAATAAAGTGAGACACACAGTATGAAAAGACACATGTTGGAAGGAGAGGTCGGAAACACTACACAGCACAGCAGCCGATGCCGTAACCGTGGAGAAGGGGGACGGAGCCACCAGCTTCTGCTCCAGCGTCTGCGCACAGAGGCAACGTTTAGTCAGAGCTCCAGGACCTCGGAGGGGCTCTCTGAGCATCAGTCTGCTCAGGACACAGGGGCTGGTCCACAGGCCTTTCCTTCTTCTCCTGGGGGGAGCATCACTGTGCAGCACTTCACAAACAGCAGTTAGGGTCCTCTGGCCCCGCCAGATCGCCATGGCAGCTCTGTGAAGTTCTTCTTCACGGTTGTGTTCCTTAGAGGTTATTTCTTCATAATTAGACCAGTATTTAAAGTAACTCCCCAGTCAGATGCCCATCTCCTGCCATCCAGCAGGTCACCCCAGGCCCCATGTGTCTGGTTCAGGAGTCTTGACATCACTGCAAGCAAATCATCATTGGGACTTAAGTGCTGTTGTTTATTTTCTCCAAATAACTGATCCACTGTGACTTCCTAGAAATTAATCTTGGGGCCCAGACTAGATGGGGGGTCAGAGGTATTAGCAAATCCTACCCATTTTTCCTTTGAAGACTCACTTCCATCATCAGTTCCAAATGCATGCACATTACACGTGCTCTCCAGTAGATCTGCCTTACTCAGCTGCGTGTCCCTCACCTGGTATCTGCAGAGAGCTGCTCTTAAAATGCTGGTCCCTGGACATCTGCCCACGCAGGGTGCCAGCTCTCCAAAGCTCCACAGGTAGAGGAAAGAAAGTGAAGTGTACGGTTCTCACTTCAACCCTGCGGGGTAACCCATCCCATTCCACACCCTGGGGAGGGCCTCTATCCAGAAAGCTGGAGAGGATAGAGACCACGTTCTCCCTTCTTTGGGGGTATCCCTCGCATTGTAGTCACTGCATTTATGGGTTGGGGAGTATTCTCCTGGGTTCAAGAGTTTAAGAGGGACATCTGAGATTTGGGGGTTACAGGAGTTTGGAAATGCTGTTTTGTTGTTGTTACCTTAGTTTTGAAAGCCATGCTCCCCTTGCAATGAATTCTTAGTTTATTGACCACTCCGTGAAGCTAAAACCTGCACATCAAATTGTCCAAGGGGGCAGGAGTTTGCCCAGTTAAGCCTATCTTGGCTTCAGTACTCACCGAGGATACACAGTAGAATCGGCCGTAATTTACGGCAGTGCGTGGGTCTTAGAGTTTCGGGGTCCAGCTGGCTGTCAGGCAGCCTCCAGTGAGTAGTATCCTCTTAGTTCTGTGCTGCATTTAGTTGAGCTGGAGTCTCTGCCCCTGATTTAATCACAAGCCAGGTCGCCATGGAGATGACATCCAGCCTCTGGCTGCCTGGTAAACTACATGCAAATGGTGAAAATAAAACAAACAGGGTATGCAAATTAACTTCCTGAGTAAATAAAAGACTTTGCCGCCAGGTCTCCGGACTGACTACTTTTGGTCCAGGGCTGTTTATTAGGAGTCACAGTGATTTGAAAAATATCATAATCACAACCATTGTCTCAACGCTTGTTTTATTGTTTCTTGTGTTTTTTTGTCTGTTTCAGATATATCAACACTCCTATACTGGATATTATGTCCTGAGCAAAATTCCTCATGGGTAAGATTGTTCTTTCATTTTCTTTTAACGCGAAATCTGCAAAACAAAGCGCAAAGCAGAGCGCTGATTAGTTGCTTAATTCTTAGGGCAGGAAATGAGGCACCTTATTTCTTGACAGCAAAGTGTTCCCATGCTGTGGGACCTCCGCGATGCCTCCAGGGCCGAGGGGGTCACTTGAGTCCAGTTTCTTGCCCATTTGTGAAGCCCCCCTTCCTAGAACAGCTCCACCACTTCCTGCTCTGGTTCCCAGGTTTGCAGAGAAAGATTCCCCCTTCCCCGCCCCACTTTGTAATCAGCCGTGGCCCCTCTAGGGCATGGTGATTCGACCTAGGACTCCCAGGAAGGTTCCTGGTTTTATATACATAATAGAGAGGGCAGCACCCCTAAGCTCATCTTGTTTCTCAAAAATGCAACATTTGGGACCCAAAAGTGTGAGTGGGGAGGAAAGACATGAGTGCAAGCGTGATTTTGCTGAGTTTTCAGTTCTGGGTAGACACAGCCACACACAACGTGGGGTGTATTATCAGGAGCTCATCTTTGGAGTCCGGAGGTGTTAAGACATGATTCAAGTTTGGTGAAGCCATTTGTTGAGTGGGCAAGGGGAAAACCAGTTGCAGAGCAAGGAGAGTGTGGCAGGGATGGCTTTTACTGCTTCCATTTTTATTCTTTCTCCCCCCTCGTCTTCCTTCTTCCTCCTTCTTCCTCCCCTCCCCCACCCACCTTCAACCCCTCCACCCTCACCCCAGCCTGTGTTCTTGTTCCCACCTTTTTCTTCTCCTTATACCCTCCACGGTTTCTCTCACTTTTTGTTCAAAAAGGCGAAGTGCTCAGGAAATGTTCAAAGAAATTGGATTGTGCTACTGGCAATGTTGTGTAAATTCCTGTGACTATTTACAGGGCGGCATCCTAATTTTCCTAAGCAAATTTAAACAAACAGCAGGAGTTGCTAAAAAGTATTGTTCCATAGAGAGCATTAATCACAGCATCTGTGTTTCACAACTGCTGCTGTCTGTTTTCTACTAAGTTTAGGTAGAATATGAGCATATCCTTGGAAAAACAACATGGGGAAAATAATTTCACTTGATAAATGAAAGATACATGTAGACATGCGGCCAACCAAGTGTGATTAATCGTTTCCGTTAGACTATTAGAAAAATCAAGCCCCGAGAAACTGAAGATGACCCCCGTAGTGAAAACAAAGTATCCATAGGTGTTTGTTTTTAAAGCATAGTTCAAATAGAAACTCAAATGTTTTTCACTAAGGACGAATTATTCTATTATTTTTCAAGCAGATATGCATCTTCAAAAGTCACGGCAGGCAGGAGTATAATTATGCCTTGAGATTTATCTACCCCTTCTGGGAACAATAGAACTTATTGTAGATGATGGATATTTCATTTCATCTTATATAAATTTGTAAAACTCAAAACTTGAAAAGCATTTTGTGCTTGACACATGGTGTAAAGATTTTACTGCATCAGTTAGAATTTAAGAGAAATAGGTTCTGAGAACCTGGCACAAGAGTTTGCCAAACCAGCCACAAACCGAAGGGCAAGGTGGTGTGTGCTGAAGCCCTGGTTTCCGTGCTCACGATGGGGCTGGTGATCCCTCCATAGAGGACGCCAACGAAGAGTGAGCTGCTTTTGGCATTTTTAAAATAATCATAGTAATAATAATTGCCATCATGTATTGAAGGAGTCTTAAGTGCGCCCATCCTAGCACATCAGTCCTGCAAAAAAGCATTCTTCTCCGCCTTTCACAGTGAGAACTCTGTCATCTCATAGCTGGTGCCCAGGAGAGCTGGAATCCAGCATAGCCTGGCTCGCTCCCAATCCTGTGCCATCAAAACAACTGCCTTGGGTAAAATTACAGCTGTAAATATCAGATTTTTAGTGGTGCTAATTTATTGTTTGTTTTTGTTTTTTTTTTTTTTGGCGGTACGCGGGCCTTTCACTGTTGTGGCCTCTCCCGTTGCGGAGCACAGGCTCCGGACGCGTAGGCCCAGCGGCCATGGCTCACGGGCCCAGCCGCTCCGCGGCATGTGGGATCCTCCCGGACCGGGGCACGAACCCGCATCCCCCGCATCGGCAGGCGGACTCTCAACCACTGCGCCACCAGGGAAGCCCTAATTTATTGCTTTTCTAAGTGTTACCGAACCAAACTTGGGTCCGCTCACCCACACACAGTAAAGCCAATCTACTGACACCAGGTTGTGGTGAAGGAAAGTGCAGCGTTTACTGCAGGTGCCAAGCAAGGAGTCCAGGTAGCTAGTGTTTAAAAGGCCCAAACTCCCCAAAGCTTCAGGAAAAGGTTTTTAATGACAGGATGAGAGAGGGGGGTTGTGGAGTGTGTGATCAGCTCGTGGACCTTCTTCTGATTGGTTGGTGGTGAGGTAATTGGGAGTCAACATCATCAGTCCTCTGGTTCCAACTGGTCTGTGGTCTATGTGCTTGTGGGCAGCGTGCAGTTAACTTCTTCCACCTGGTGGGGGTTTCAGTATCTGCAAAGCAGCTCAAAGGACACGGCTCAGAATATCATCTACAGCCCTTGAGGAGGAACTGAAGGTCCTTGACTTTGTTTAATGGCTAAACTATTATTATTTTGTCTGTTTGACTGTTTTCCTTTCTTTCTGCCTTTTCTCACTTCTCTGATTAAATTTACTTGTTGGAACTTGCAGAAAGCCTAGGTATGCTACAGGTTTTCTACAGACAAGAGGCAGGCAGAAGGCAGGGGGTGAGGGGTCTGTTCCGGGGAGCCCCCATATGGTCCTGCTTAGTTACATAAGGACTCTTATAAGATTGAAAGATGTAGCAGATTACTTGTTACATTTATGGGAAACAATCTCTGGTGGATGAGGATGTCTATGGTTCATCTCATCACCACATAAACTGACAGCTTCTCCAAAAATGGCATTGCTCGACCGTTTATGCAAAATAAATGAATTAATTAATTTCAAATATTGTCAAAATCTTATTTGTATTAATGAGGCAGTGGGTTTCCAAACTGGATGGGACTTTAGGCTTCGAGCTTTTGCAGCTTCAGCCTCCAAAAGAGGCTTGTTGAGCTCAGTCAGTTGTGCCAGAGCGCCACCAGCTGGCAGGGGGAGAACACAGCCCCGTAGCTGGGTTTGGGGTATCAAGGAAAGCACAATTGTCTTTTTAAAATAAAACTATCTCTATTAAAATATTTAAATTTACATTACTCATAGGACCAAAAATCTGAGAGCTTCTCTTGATACTTCTGGAGTCACAGATCTGTATCTTTTTCTCAAATTCTCACCTCTCCTTTCATCCCTCTCTCCCCTCAATTCCTCTCTTCCAGCCAGAGGCCATTCAGTATGCAGGATGGGATTATTTGTCCTTTATAGTTTGTTTTTTTTTTCCCTTGGCTTCAGACTTTCCAACCAATCATAGAGAAGGATCAAATTAATTTTTCAGTACCCTCTAAACTCTGGTTTCCTTCCTTTTGCCAGTGATGGAAGAATCTGGGAAGGGGGTATCCTCTTTTCTTTCTCTTCCACGAGCCATAAAGAGGCCTTCGTGTCCTGTGTTTAAATTCCTTCTCCTCCAGTTGTGACCTCTGCAGCTGGAGCCCACTAGAACCCCGGGTGCATGTAACGGCTTGGGTTATAATGAGAATGCCGAGCCAACTGAATTTTCATTTAGTCAGGAGATCTAGAACCTAAGGGTAGGTGCATTTGACTTTCACATACTAAATTTTCAAAAATTGTATTCTTAAAGGACATGTCTTTTACACAAATTTGTTTATTAAGCCAGAATTAAAGCTATTTTGTTTGTTTGTTTGTTTTTTGCGGTACGCGGGCATCTCACTGTTGTGGCCTCTCCCATTGCGGAGCACAGGCTCCGGACACGCAGGCTCAGCAGCCATGGCTCACGGGCCCAGCCGCTCCGCGACATGTGGGATCTTCCTGGACCGGGGCACGAACCCATGTCCCCTGCATCGGCAGGCGGACTCTCAACCACTGCGCCACCAGGGAAGCCCAAAGCTATTATTTTTAACATAAAGTGTTTCACTAAGTCTTTATATCAGAATGTCAACAAAATAAAGCAATCTTTCATAATAGAGATTATAACCAGCTAAATGTTCTCTGTTAAGGGTCCATTGTGTGTTTTCATAGCAGTTTTTGGTAGACTTGGCTGTTTCTTGACATTTTCTTGACATGACTCTTTTTTGGATTAGTTTTCCCATTGGCTTGAGTGCTTTTTTTTAGAAAAATTATATTTCTATATAATTATAATTTCTTATATCTTTTAAGATCATTCTGAAAATCATACGGGCTAGAGAAAATCAATCCTTCTATAACAGAAATCAATTTTAAGAAAAATTTGGTATACCCCGTAGTTATGCAGCATTGGCATTTTGGAGTTTGGCAAGCAGAGCAATAATAGAACAAAAACTGAGAAGTATTCAGAGGCATTTTGTTTACATGTCAGGCCATCCTCTGTGGATATTGTTGCCCTAACCTTGCTTATTTACCTGTACCAAACAAATTGTACAGAATTGTATTCCTTTGGAACTCTGGTTGACTTATGAAGTCACATTCTGCATCTGTGAAAATAATAAACTGAGACATAGATTCCTTCTGCCCAGGGTTACTCTCTAACATTATAGGCTGGGATGCAGAAGAGCATTCCATTTATTTAGAAAGTAGAAATCTAGGTTGACAACATAGCACAATGCCCCAGTACCTTGCCTGATATCATGACACAGGAGTTAAGAACTGAAGCCCTGTGGTCCCATAGACCTTAATGTGAATCCCAGTCTGCAACTGACTCTTGGCTGTGTGACCTTGATAGTTGCTGTACTTCTACAGATCTTAGTTTCCATATTTTTAAGATGTTAATAATAGTGCTCACCTCATAGGCACATTATAAGAATTAAGTGGAATGATACGTGCAAAGTGCACAGCAGAGAATTTTGCTTCTAGTGAATGCCTGGGAATGTTATTCTTCATATTGTAATATATCCCCAATATATAT